TGGGGAGGACGTTGACGCAACGGTTCTGGTTGATCAGGTCGATGTGTTGCGGCAGCCATACCTTGCTGGCTCATGATCTGGAGCTTGGTAACGACATCCTGGAAAGAACCACCGGTGGCGAGGGTGCTGTTGGCAGCGATGACGCTGGGCATGTTGCCGTTGGCAGCATCGATGATGGCCTTGTGGTTGAGCTCGTCGACCTCAGCGTTGTAGGCGACGGTAGCAGCCTGCTTGAACTGGACGTTGTTCTGGATGCTGGCACCGGTGTTCAAGAAGTTGGAGACCATGGAGGTGTCGGCCATCCAGTTGGCGACGGCTGTGGCAAGATCGGCCGAAGTGGGAGTTTGACCACCAGCGATACCGGCACCCTGACCAGTAGGCTTGTTGGTAACAGGTTGAGGAGCATTGGGGTTGTTTTGCTGGGTCTGGCCAGTCTGCTGCTGTTGCTGGTTCTGGACCTGGGCGAGGGGAGCAGCGTAAACCGCGGAGGAAAGGAGAGAGGCAATGAGAATGTACTTCATTTTGGCTGTGTGAGGATCGGATCTACCGAGTAAAATAAATATTAATTAGAAGGAGTGGATGGAAGATTGGAAGATGCTGAAGATGCGCAAAAGAAGATATTAGTCTGTAATAGTGGATGAGGAACCTGTCCGATGAAGAATTGTAGAAGGTCGGGATGGCTGCTATTTGTACAATCTGGAATGTCATCCCACAGAGTGGTGCCATAGAGCGTAGTAACTCACGCAGGTAGGTGCATAGCGGTAGGCCGGCTTTGGAACAAACGGACTTTGCGTAAAGTCGGCAAGTTGCTTGATCGGAGTTTCGAAGCATGCAATGCGGTGCACGAAGCATGCCCGCTTGTCCAAACAAACGGGACTTGGGCTCATTCACAGCCCAAAGCGTGGAATTTTGCTGGGGCTACCATGCTGCATCTGAGGGCGAATTTGTCAATTGTGTTTGGCTCGGCGTCTGGGATGAGGTTTCGTCGTTCTTGGCGCGCGAAGCTTGCGGGAGATCACCAAACCTTGTGCTAAACCCGCGTTGGAAACGGCCGACCCATGTTCCAGATCACCACAGGCGCCTCCGTTTACCTGTTTCCGCCGTATACCCTAGATGCCGTGGCATATGTAGACGCGGGGGAATATAGCGCACCTTTCGTCGACCCCTCGGAAGTTTCCCACTGAAGTACAGCATGCTATGCTTTGAGGTTTGCATTAGATTGGGATAGACCTTGACAGCAACAGGGTCTATGGGATCAATTGTGGAGGTGCAATCCAAGACAGTAAAGAAAGAAAGAAAGAAAGTTTACGCGATTTCTGCTTCGTGAACGTTACACTCTGCTTGATGAGACACTGAACGGGAGAAAGGGTCTGTGGAGGAAACCAGCCCGTCAAAATCGCCACACATGCAGGTGCATTGCTGAGTGGGGTATTGTTGGTCGATACGGTTAGGAGTAATCTTTCGTCTAACTATAGCGCATGAGCTCTTCCGGTCAGCACTTCTCACGTGAGCTGATGCTGCGCAGGGTCCATGTCGGTCTTGATCTTGCGGATGAAGCGGGCTGGGTTGCCTGCCACAACAGTGAAGTCTGGGACACTCTTGGTAACGACACTGCCGGCGCCGACCACGCTGCCTTTGCCTATAATGACGCCGGGCAATATGCAAACATTGCCTCCAATCCAACAGTCTTCGCCAACGTGAATCTCCTTGCCCATCTCCGGCCCCCGAATACCGTTTCTGAGAGCTGGGTCGAGAGGATGTGTGGCCGAATAGAAGTGGACGTTGGGCCCTAGAAGTGTGCGTGACCCTATGGTGGTCAAACAGGTGTCGAGAAACACGGCACCAAAGTTGATGAAAGCATCGTCGCCCACTCGGACGTTCCGACCGTAATCCATGGTGATTGGAGGAAGAATCCACGGTTCATGCTCGAAAAGAGCGTCATCCTCTTCGGCGGTTGGAGCCTCTGGTGGCATGGGCCTCTTGTCCTGGACGATACTATGAAGGATATGAGGAAGTTTTTCCCGAAAAGACGGGAACTCAGACGTACTCTCGAAACAGTTCGGTAAGTTTTCGACGTCCTAAGTGGCGGTCTGCGCTGTTGAAGCGTCCGCAGGCGAGTCTACATCTTTCACGCTCTGCTGCCAAGTCAGGCGTGAATGCGTAGTAGAGCTCGCCACAAAGCATGCGCTTCTTGTTCTCAATCGGGTCGACATCCATGCTGCCCACCAAGGTAGAAAGCTGATGGGGTGGGACAAGCTAACTGATCCGACAGGCAGCGAGTTGATACCTGAGGTGTTGAGGGTCTACCTAACGTATCTGGCTATCTCGGGGGCCTCGGTGCGCTAAGATGGAACTGGCCTAGTGCCATATTTTCGTTGGAACCGCGGCATGTGCTGTGCAAGCGACGTCTGTAGACAATAGCAAAGGGATGCCTTGCTATTGTTCTGTGTGCCGCACAAAAGCAGAGCTGTCGTGGTTTTCTTTCTTCGGCGCATTATAAGACCATGCCGTGAAGCTGATCATTAGTCCTTTTTTCTTTGCACCACGAGTCCCTGCATACGCTGCCCGCACCAACCCATCCACCACCATCATGACTTCCAACGGCTCGACATCCTCAGGCGTCAATATTTCCCCATTGCAAGCTCATGCTCGCAACCCCCCAGCCAAGGATGTAAATGTCCTTGCAGCTGAGTTCTTCCCTCATGGCAAGCGCTCGCTCTCCGGCATCGCAGTGCGCGCCTTCTGCTTAGGCTGCGCACTCGTGCTCGGCCTCGTGGGCACCGGGCTGCTAGCATACAGTGGCAGCCACCTATGGCGACCGTGTCTGTTTCTCGCAACTCTGTCACTCTTCCACTTCCTCGAATTCTACACGACGGCCGCGTACAACACCCCGAAAGCGTACATCGCCTCTTTCCTCCTCACGAATGGCGACCAGTACCGGATGGCCCACACCATGGCCTTTATAGAGACACTTGTAACCTCGTACTTTTTCCCAAAGTACCAGTCGCGCATCCACCCACCGTGGCTCATCGCATTGGGCGTCATAATGATTGTGGTGGGGCAGACGGTTCGCAGCACGGCCATGATACAGGCGGGCACAAACTTCAATCACACGGTGCAGTCGCGGAAGAGCGACGGACATGAGTTGGTTACAAGTGGACTATACAACTATTTCCGCCATCCCTCGTACTTTGGCTTCTTCTGGTGGGGTATCGGGACTCAAGTGATGCTTGGCAACATGACATGTGGGATCGGCTATGCCGGCGTTTTATGGTACTTCTTCAAGAAGCGTATCTCGCGTAAGTAGTGCTATCGTGATATAGAAACAGACGACTGACTGGGGATAGATGAGGAGAAGCATCTCATAGACTTTTTCGGTGATGATTACAGGGCGTACAGGGCGCGAACACGTGTGTGGATACCCTTTATTTGAGCATCCACTACTTGATACCCGTAAAACGGTGTGATCATATTAAGGCGCTGCAATATTCAATTTCTTGTGCTACATTCGTGTCTGGCCAGATGCGAGCCTGTGTCAATCTGTAGGCATTCAAGCTTATTCTTTGATAGGTAAAGCCATAAGCATCGTTCCATACAGTAATGGACCCTTTACTACTTGCACCCCACTACTGCTATCTTTCCAAATCACCTGTTGTGTTTCTAGACAAGTTTACCATTTCATGTCAGCATGCTCAGCATGTGTAAGGTGCTTCGGTAATGTTCAATCAAATCAACATGTCACGTGTTGAATTTCGATTAGCACATTCACGCCATGTTGGCAATCATATTTATATCTTTTGCCTGGTCTTGGACATGCCATCTTCACCTATCTGGGCCGCTTCCTCGCTTTTCGGGGTTCGTCTTCATCAACATGTTGATCGCCCTGTTATTGGCCGAGCACATGGCGACTGCAAACGGCAGTAGCGACCTGAGCGTTGCCCTGCACCCCGGCTTCTGCCGATCTATCCGAATTCCAACTTCACCTCGACCTCTTACCGTCTGTTCTGTGCTCCGTATCTCACATACGCAACACTTCGTGGTCTGATGCCACGCCCTTCCTCCAGCCCACGAGTACGAGACAGTGAAGAAAAGCTGTACCAGTCCTGTCTGAGCGCGTGCATTCAAGGCATTTCAGATTTGCCTGTAAATAGGCGGGTCAGCGGTGAGTAGCAATTCCCTTTACCCCCAACAGTACTTCACAGTGGAATCAGCGTGCCGGTCGCTTACAGTAGCTTTTGTACACCGGCGTCTCAAGCATTCACGCGAGCTTCGCCTTACTGATACCTCTCCGACAGCAGCATCACCCACATCAAGCAAACACTTCACTGCCAACCCCGCCAAGCATTCCACTGCCGAGTTCGCCTCCACTTCCTCTGCCACAGTCGAGCCAGCATCCTCTCTCTTGTCCCCACCACCTTCACCTTCGCGCGAGAGATCAACCCAACAAGAAGACTTGCTCATGGACGCATCACTGAACAGGAGCATGGACAAGTCAAAGTATGCCGATGGGCCGCCTGCGTCTGGGTCGATGCGCGGCGGACAAGGTGCTGCACCTCCTTCTGCACCAGCATCCTGGGGTTTGCAAGATGCGCGAAGCAATCTTGCCGTCCAGCCTGTAGCCAACACCGGCAGTATCAAGCTCAAGAAGGCCTCTGTCAAGATGGTTGGTGCCGCCCCCGTCCAAACTCGACCTGCTGCTGCTAAACCGGTCGTCTCACTCTCCTCCACGTCAGGTGCAAAAATTCCAGACGGGTATGTACCGCCACTAGACAGAGACATGACTAGAGTCTATGCTGACTTATATTCATGTAGACCTGTATCGACTTCATCGACTACAAGTGCTTCAACTCCAAAAGCTTCGACTACACGTGCTTCTCTCACTCTTGCCCCAGAACCCAAGATTGCTCCAGTCAAGATGAACGAAGGTGGATCTATCCATGCGTCACAGGCAGAGCTTGAGGGTCTTTACGCTCGTTTGAGCAGCATGGGTCCAACTACTCCATCCCATAAGAGCGAAGGTATCCCGTCTATCACTCCTGGCAAGAACATGTTCGCGTTCGAAACCCGCCTTGAAATTGCAAGCATAAAGGGCAAGGCTACTGAGAAGACTACCGCCATTATGTCCGCAGAGAAGACTAGTTCAGTCGAATCGCTCGCAGAGAAGCTGCTCTTGTCCGAAAATAACAAGAAGAGGACCCAGGGTTTTGTTGATACAGAGCGTACCAAGAAGGCTAAAACTGACAAACCCAAAGTCGTTCAAGCTACTGTTGTTGGAGACAATTTGGCACAAGCCTCTAAGCCTGCCGTAGAACGCGTAAGCGAGTCCCAAGAGGACTTGGAGGCGGAGTACATGCGCAAGGCCAGCGAGTACATTGACACCTTTCCGGTCGAACAGAAGACTGCATCACACCTTATCCAGGCCATGTCAAAGAAGCTCCGTAGCTTGTATACTGAAGACAACAAGGACTCTATCAAGGCCCGATTCGCTTTCGCGCTCGTCAACTACATCAAGAACGTCAAGAAGGGATCTGAGGCCTTTTCAGTAGATTCTGCCAAGTCTCTACTGGAGGATGCGAATGGTGATCTTCTCCAACTTTGCGCGAAGCTTGTTGAAGGAAAGTACATTTCACTACAGACTCTCGACGATGTGAGCGGCATGGCCACTGCTCTTCTCAACATCCTTCCAGAGGCAGATCCGTCTATCACTACTGCTACCGCCGTTTACAAGGCAGATGTCACCGGCAGCCCAGGCGTGAAGCCAGTGACCAAGGGTTCAGTGGAAAACAACAAGGGATGGCCGACACCAGAGAAGCGGGAGAACCGTGAGTCTATGTTTTCTCTTTGTAATATCAATGCTAACAAGTCATAGCAGCCGCTCAGCGTACCTGTATCCTCAAGGGTGTTACCAACATCACCAACATCAATCAGCTCCAGGCTCTTGTATGGGGTGGCAGACTCGAGGCAATATCTATGTCGGAGCCTGGCTCTTCCACCGCGGTCGTGAAGTTCCTTTCTGCTGAAGGTTGCGACAAGTATCACAAGGAAACAGCGAACGGTATCAAAGTGGTTGGGGACATGAAGACGGTCATCATCGAAGTCGAGAAGACGGACGGCCCGAATTCGATCAACGATGTCATCCGCAATTGCATTGAACAAGGCGTTACACGCTGCGTTCGGGCCACCGGCGAAATGGACAAGGACGACATGACCCTTATGAAGTTGGCCCGGGGTAACAGCCATGCCCACAAACGCGAGGTAGATCGTATCAAGCGTGGCAAAAACAAACAGGGACATGCGTACATCGAGTTCCGCTTTGCGAACATTTACCACGCGCTGCAGTTCAAGCGTGAGCTGCATGCGCTTGAGGAGTGGGAGCACTGCAACGTGCAGTATATCGCTGATCCGTGTGAGGTGGCCAAGGGCATTCACTACAAGGACGAGGATGAGTAGAGTAGTCTGCAACTTGGTTGACAGCATGCTCAAACGCCTTCTGCAAATGCGTCCAAGCCTCAGCTGTATTCCTTCATGACAAGACCCAAGCTCAGGAAATGACAGTACCTGTATTCGATTGCATACAATTAGAAGAAATACACGCTACCTTTCCCTGGTAGCAGTTCTGAAATACCAAACGGGCCCTTTACTACTCATACACGCTTAGGTGATGACCCATTATAGTAAAATGGGTCCTATATGCCTTGTAAACACATCCCATTGATGAAAAACCCCATACCTACAAAACCATCATCTCCCTTTACGCCTCGCTACCCTTGTTGTTCCATCAGTTTACCATACCTAAGCGCTGTGACGAATGCATCCGTGTTGGTTGATATGCTGAAAGCCCCCGATGACTCCATCCTGACCTAGGCATCTCAAGCCCGGTTCACAGAAGTAAAGCTTGCATCCGCCATCTCGGTATCGCCGTTTTGAGGAGGAGGTGCAGAGTCCGTGGCTGGAGGCAGCTGTGCAGCCCCAGAATATGCACGTCTCCGGGCGCCATCTTCCTCGACACTAGCAGGCGCAGGACGCTGCTCATCGTAGGCCGGGTCAAAGTAGGCTCGCGTCGTCGCTGTCGTCGTCGAGGTCGCAGGTTGTTGCGACTGCAGCGGGGGCAACGAATGCAGTGGAGGTAGCGTAGGCGGCGGTGGCACACCATTGACAGCAGCATGAGGACTGGTCGCTTGCACGACGGGAGCCGAACCAGCACCAATAGTACCAAAGTAGCTCCTCTCTTGCCTGCCAGCCGGATCCGGTGTACTCTGTGCACTACTCATAGTATGCACTCCATGCTGAATCATCCGTCCCTCGAGCGCACCCTGTCCGACACCCAGCCTCTCTCTCTCCGCCTCCGCACCGCCTGCGCTACCGCTGCCACCTAGTGTCGGGGTGCCCTTGCGATTGTGGCTCCGCTTGCTGCGCAGCGGCTTGTCCGTAGGCGTGGGCGGTGGACTGGAACTGCGGTCGCTGTCGTCGACGTTGTATTCCATGTGTTTGTTTAGTTGCTCCAGCAGGAAGGCGCGTTCCAGTCGCATCTTTTGGATGCCGCGGGATAGGCGCGTGATGCGCAGGCGCGTGCCGTCGTTTGAGTCTTCAATGTCGGTGATTCGCCGGCGCAGGTCGATGCATTTGCGGTAGTAGGCGCTTTCGACAGAGGGGGGAAGATCTTTGGAAGAGAGAGCGCGGGATGCTAGGGTCATTGTGTTAGTTGTGTTGTTGTTGAGCTGGGGGTGATGTCGTTGATGTGTTGGTTAGAGTGCAGTGGTTTGCGACACGCGCAAGGGGAGCAGCGACATACGTGGTTGTGGCATTTTTGCGCGTGCGAGAGCGGTGGGCTCGCTGTTATTTTGTGAATATGTTTTATGAGTGCAGACGAGGATATAGAGGCGCTGTTGTGGGTTGGCGTGAGTTGGTGATGAATCTGGGGCTTGTACAAGGTGAGGTTGAGGTGCCGGACGCGAGCATCCTGGAGCTCGAACCTAACTTGTGGGGCCGACGTTGTTCCGAATAGCCTCATCCCGTTTGGTGAGCATGCTTGGCACCTCACGACGGCACAACCACCTATGTGACCTGAAATACTTGACAGTATGAACAAGCATCTAATGGGTACTTCTATCGCCTCAAAAGGCATGTGTTTACTAGCATGGCATGTATCTCGTGTCGCTCAGGTGCAAGCCTGATGACGATTAGTCTTATGTCTCTTTCGCTCTTGCCTATGTACATTCCAGGTGTGAGTACAAGGTCAGTCACGCGATGAATGTTTCGGGAGTGACAAAAAGGTTCGGCTGGGAAGGTGCCTACACCTGGGTGATTATTTGACAGTGTGGGTAGGTACCTAATAGGTGCGTTTGGCGCCTACAGTGGTCTTGTACAATAGTATATCAAGTATTCTATGTCACCCAGGACCCTACAGAGGTGCGCTCCGAACTCTGTCGTAGAACTCGCAATTATCTCCCTTCCACACATACACTGTCCTGACAATGCATAGTAAAAGAGCTATAATCGTAACCTGTTATAGAAGAACACTTCCACATCTTATACCCAATAACAATGCCCTTTCAGGAATGAGAAACAATGAAAGAAAGGGGAAATTCATGTATTCGCCATCTTGCCGGGTCCCAGATATTTTATAATATGAGGGGGGCGATCCTTTGTGAAAATGATAGAAAACACTAGTATCAAGCATTAGACAAACAATAACAAATCGGCCTGCGCCAAAAGTGACGTTCCAGATTCGCAACCGCAGGCCGCTCACTCTCCACTATCCCAGATTCAGCCCATTCTACGCCCTTTCACTCTGACTCCTTTAACTCTTCCCAGAATCTTCCTTACCACCTTTCATCGTCGCAACCTGGACTGCGACAGCCCAAGTCAACCGCCGCTTATCTAACCCACACCCACAACCATCCGCATCGGACCACTCACTAGTCAGCCATGAAGGCCACACACATCATCGTCATCACACTCCTTCTCGTAACCGCCTTCTGTATCTTCTTCGGCTGGTGCCTGTACAAGTCATGTCGGCGAGTCATTGACGTGGAACATCATGAGTTGAGGTGCAGGCAAGAGGATGGTGAAGCAGGCACTGTCAAGAGTGATGGGGCGAAGAGCGCGAAGAGCGGAGGAAAGAGTGTTAAGAGTGCAGCGAAGAGTGCAGCGAAGAGTGCAGCGAAGAGTTCAAAGAGTGCAGCGAAGAGTTCAAAGAGTGCACCAAAGAGTGCAAGAAGCGCCGCAAACAGTGGAGCTGCAGCAGGACCAATGGACGATATGAAATGTGGATAAAAACAGCACGGTAATTCGATTAGATGGCGTCGTATTGCGCATTAGAGTGAGACTAATTCGTGCCAGTAGAGGATACAACGCCACACATGAAGGGAAATCGAGACGGAAGTATGGTCACACCCTGGGTGTCATGGAATACTCGACAGTGTGGGTAAGCACCCAATAGGCGTGTCTGGCGACTACAGTGGCCATTTTGCACTGGTATGTCCAGTATTTTATGACGCCTGGGTGGTCATGGGAATGAAGCAACAAGCTTGATCCTACCTCACACAAGTTTGTCATGGTACACACACCTGCATATACGACTCTAAGCACTATAAACACGCCTTTGCTCGGGACCCTACCATGATTTTATTACAAGAAGCGGCGCGGGTGGCTACTGGGTTTGTTTGCGTGGTCTGAGACGTTGTACGACGGGAGTGGGCGATTTGTTTGCTTGGTGAATAGTGTGTGTACTCGAGCAAACATGGCTGTTAGCTGCACGACGAATGATGATTGCGGGAGAAAGGGAAGACACCTAGGTTCAAATGCAAATTTATTCATGTTTTCGATCTTCCACTTTAGTGACCAAGACTGGTATGCTTCCCAGCTCTGTCGCTCATGATGAGAAACACCAACCTAATAATCGCTCTGACTTTTGCGGGCATCTTCGGGGCAGCTCTAATCTACCTAATACTTTGGTACATTCACCGTTACATCCATCAGCGTTGCCTCGACCTGGAACATTGGTTCCATATTCTGTCGCCCCGTTCCTCAAAGACAGATGTTGAGAAGACAGGGACGCGAGATATATCGAAGTGGCGGTCGCGGTCTAGGAAGAGGGAAAGAGGACGTTCGGAGTCGAGGCATTACTATGATCGAGAAGGTAATGCAGATTGGTCGAGGCAGAGAGATGTGGAGAGGTCGCGACCGATGATGCAATTGGATGCACCTCAACAGCCGTACGAACAGTCGTACTATCCTGCTCTGGGATGGCAAGATCATAACCAAGTTGCGAATCAGACCATGTATGGACAGCCCATGCCGTGGCAGATTCAGGGTGTGGCCCAGATGGTGCCCCTCGCAATGCCGATGGCGATGCCTCAGCAGCCATATCCACAAATAGCAACGAGGATGCCGGAGCCTGCTCAACATCAACCCCCATACCAGGCTCTGGATCGGCCTCAACACCGGCAAGCGTATCCAGAGACGACGATTTCGCATGTGCCCAAGGCGGGTCGACACAAGAACCCTGAGGTGAAGCAAAGGGGCGCCAAGAAGGTGCGACCGGTGGAACAAGTGGATTACATCCATATTTGCGACGAGTATCCGCCTATTGTCCAAGAAGCGCTCAAGAAAACAGCTCCACGACCATGCTCTTCTTCGTCCTCGTCGTGTTCCAGTGAGAAGTCCGATTCAACGCAAGAGGTACCCCGAGCCAGTATCCCGCGTGCTACACCAGCATTCACTAGCATACCACCGTTCCAATTCCCCCAGTACCCGCAGATGTCAACACGGGCATGGAACGCACCCAGATCATATCCGCGACAATGGATGCACGATGCTATGGGAGGTGACGGAGCAAACGTCAAAGCCAGGTACGCACCATTCCCGCCACTGAGCGGACGTGCCGAAAGGCCATACAGAAGAAGGCGTCCAGCACCAGCACCGAGTAATACTCACCCTAAACGATGAAAGCGTGAACTGACCATTGTACTCCTTCCAGGAGCTAGTGCAAGATGCCGTGCTTACGAGCGGCGGAGGCAGCGGACGGCGAGTCCCATGGGCGGACTAAGAATAGGACGACAGGAAGATCAAGAGCCAAAGGACAGGATGGAGCGAAACGAGTATACTAGTGTAACTGAAGCAAAAACGGTTGTGGACAGCCGTCGTGTTGAGCCGGAAGCCGACGGAAGGAATGATGAGTACGGAAGGAATGATGAGCACGGAAGGAACGATGAGCATGGAAGGAACGATGAGTACGGAAGGAATGATGAGCACGGAAGGAACGATGAGCATGGAAGGAACGATGAGCATGGAAGGAACGATGAGCATGGAAGGAACGATGAGCAGCCCGGGCAGAAAGCGTCAGTACCACTGAAATCCACAACAGTAGAGGAAATCCCACGCTTCTCTCCTATGCCGATACCCATAGTTGAGGAGCCTTGTACACCGACTTGTGAGAAAGCAAAGCTATGTTCGGCATCGGGCGGGAGTACTCACCCGAGAGCTTCTTCGTCCCCTATTTCAGCAACCGGACGTCCGCTTTGATCGCTTAGGTCGTCCGCATCTAGCCTAGGCAGGGCATAGTACTGTAGGATGTACCTAGGCAGTTGAGGGTAGTCTTGCGAGAAGTAGGACAAAAGTATGTATCGCAACACAATGCGATGCGGCAGCGCGGGATGACGGGTGTGCATCCGCGCAATGTCCATCAGATAACCAATTACATTTGTGTGCGCGTACGAGGCAGTGAAGCTGAAGTTCCTTCGCGTCATGCTCATTTTCGATACGTCTTTAGTGCTTGGATAGGTTGAGGAAATCTCCGGCGCACTGATGTAGAGACAGCGCTTACGCTTTGTCGAGGTCATGACAAACCAAGGAGGGCGGCCAAGAAGCATATCTTTACCAGGTGTCCCTGTGCAACGTGCACATGGCTATGCTGCGATTGCATTAACATTGTCAGATTCGGGTTAAATGCGTCGCGTGGACAGTCGTCTCGCTTGACGAGTTTTGGTATTCTTAGCCTGCAGCTGTGGGATCCCTCAGCCTTCTGGGCCTCCGGGGTGTGGGTTGTGCTAAAGACTCAGCACTATGCCAATAACGGCGTGTTTGAAACGGCTATTGGTGTAGGCGAGGGGATCCCAAGGTATCTAACACTAGCTACTGCGTCTGCCGTGCGTCCGCCGTGCGTCCAGCGTCGGTCCTGATCCTTTCTCCACATGGACCCTGGCGCAATGGCTTGTTTCCGACCGCAACCAGTGAATTGCGCGTCACAGTCGGCCCATTACCGGTACAGCCCTCGACAAGTCGCGCCCGTCCATGACCACACGCCCTCCGCTTATGGACCCGTTATCATCATTCACACCTCCCCGCACGTGCTGCCTGTTTGCTCTACACTTCTGTAGTGAATCCTCGCAGCTCTGCTTCCTCTCCATCTTCGCTTGATGGCGGCCGCGACTAACTAGGCCCCTTTTACTCGATACCAAGGAAGCCTCCCCCATGCTTAAATCAAGCCGCCGGCCCATACACGAGTATGAGCTGGTGCCGCGCGAATCGCTCGACGACCAACAGCCGTTTGCTCTTGATCCGCCGACATCGCGCTCGTCCAAACCATCGTGGCTCGCCCGCCTGAAATCTCACCTTAGCGGCGTGAACAAGCTCTCTGAGCGTGCCGTCTACACCCACTACGTCACCCCGCGTCGGCGGAAACGTTCAATTCTGCGCCTCATCTACTGGACCTTCTTCTCGGTGCCATATATTCTAATCCTCCTTGTGCTGATCACCGGCATCTTCTTCCCGAGCTATACGGTCCGACCCGCTCACTATGAAGAGCTGCGCAAAAGGGCCGCCGACACTGGACGCGCGAACCCGTACAACGAAAAGGTCTTCATCACTGCGTCGCTGGCAGAGAACAAGGGCGACTTGACCTCTGGCGCATGGGGCAAAGAGGTATTGCAGCTGGTGGATCTGCTGGGTCCCGAGAATGTCCACTTGAGCCTATACGAAGACAACCCGGATCCGCTAACGAAGCAGTCGCTCGCCGACTTCCGCTACAAAGTAAAATGTGAGATAATCCATCCATCTGGCCTGGCATATCACTGACCAACCAGGCAACTCGACCATCGTCGCCGAAGATCTCGACATCGCTGCTCTTCCCCACATTACACTACCCAACGGCGAGAAGCGCCTGAAGCGAATCGCTTTCCTCGCCGAGGTACGAAACCGAGCCATGGACCCCATCGACAAGCACGGCGTCAAGTTTGACAAGGTCCTTGTCCTCAACGATGTCAACTTCGACCCTGTCGAGGCTGCCCAGTTGCTCTTCGCAACCAACATTGATTCCACCGGACGAGCCGACTACGCAGCAGCGTGTGCTGTTGACCACATCATGCCCTTCAAATTCTACGATCGCTTTGCAACGCGTGATTTTGACGGCATGATCACTGGCCTACCCTTCTTCCCCTGGTTCACCAGCGCGGGCACAGCCACAAGTAGGAACGATGTACTGGCAGGCTCGGATGCAGTGCGTGTGCGTAGCTGCTGGGGCGGCATGGTGGCATTCGAAGCCAAATGGTTCCAGGCCCAAAACCATGGCCAAAATAATAAAGCTGCCCACCCTCAGAGTCAGTCGCCCAACCCTCATACCTCTCCCCTTCGATTCCGATACGACAGCGAGCCTTTCTGGGAGGGTTCCGAATGCTGCCTGATCAACGCAGATCTCCAGTACCGAATGTCTGGAAAAGGAAGGCCTACGGAATCCAGGATATACATGAACCCTTTTGTTCGCGTGGCATATGATGAAAGCACCTTGAGCTGGCTGTCCTTTATCCGTCGGCCAGAACGCCTATACGCCCCAATCCACGACATTCTCAACTACTTTGTCGGCTTTCCCGAGAAGCAGTCACGGTGGGCTGAAGAGCCAGGCGAGGTTGTAAATGAGCAGGTGTGGGTCTATGACCATCCAGTTGCCGCCTTTGCCAAGAACGCCACAGAAGCGGATCTCTCGGGCCATTATATTGAGCGGACGCGAACTGCGGAACCGGGTGGCTTCTGCACATCCCCCAACCTTCTTGTCATCAACGAGAAGCCCGAACATGGCCCTGGAGCTTGGAGCAAGATTATTATACCCAGACCCCCCATGTACTGATTTCTCCACCCGGCCATTGACGACCATTTTCATTTCTCGGCCATTTCTGCACCTAGAGTTTTCTTATTTATGCATAGCGGGACTTGTACGGCATACGGAGTTTGCTCCCCTTGGGCATTTTTTTACCATGGAGTTTTCTGTTGCGAGACTTGACCGCAGTGTGCGTGTCCGTCAAACCCGCTTGAGGATTTTTGCCGTTTTAGAGCTTGATGTGTGTTCACCGACGGACAGTAGTTAGTTTCCTTCACCCGTCTCGCGTGACCGGTTTTATGGCGCCAAAATAGTGTATAACGACTGCGATTATCTATGTAACTTTTGACACATGTCATGCGTCAAGTGTACCAGCACACCGCCACCAACCCGCCCTTCTGATGTGATCGGAGTTGTCCGTATGCTTCTGCTGCCACCTCTGGTTGAACCGACAGAACCCGTCCTCAGCGCGCAAAGGTAATGCCCAAAGCTTATAAAAACATCACCCTCGTCTCACACAGCAGCGTCTCGCTTCCCTGATCCCTCGAGTTCCAGCCAATGACGCCACGCGTATTTCAGCCCTATACCGCCAAGCCACTAACCCGAAACCATTCCTGCTAGGAGCCAACACGGTGCGAAGAAACGCCTCACCTGCCCATCTTCTTTGTATATCTTAAACTTATTCATTTTTTAACGACTCTATCACCCCCTGATTCCCCTTTGCACCCACCTAGTTTTGGTTCCTTTGAGATTCGGCACAAGTTGGCAGTATACGACGTCATTATTGAGTAGAATACGTACCTGCCAGCCCTGCGCAGGAAAGAGACATGGTTCTCGATAATGATACGCGCGGGTGGATTATGACGGCGGTCAGCGGCATAGGTATGTCTTCCGCGCAGAAAGCGGCATATCCGCGAAATGGACATTTAAAGCTAACGCGTGATGCAGCATGCACGTTTGGAGGTGAGAAACCGATCCCGCTGGTACCGGCGATCGACTGGGCCAAGGGACGTCTCTGTTCGAACGCTTGGAAGGCTGATTCGTCATGTAGCATCAATAATATGTGTCGACGTTGTTGTTCGCTTGTTCCCCGGGAAGAAGAACTTCAAGATTGAGAACAGTAATGCGTTCTTGTCAACGGGCCTAAGTCTGTCTTTTGGTGTCATGGTAGAAATGACCCTCGCTTAGCTGTAAGATATCATCGCTAACTTTGGATAGATATTCTCATCGCTGTACAGTATGCTGCCATCTGCAAAGAACTATCTGATAAAAGCCGACATGACACCGAGGAATGCAATACTAGCCATGATTGGATGCTTTCTGCTTGGTGCTCTCGGCATCTATGTCCTATCGGGTATACTGCACAAGTACATTCCGCATTCAGTTGTGGACTGCAATGACGAGCATGGCGATGAAGAGCACGGAGAAGTTGGAAATGAGCACACGCACGCCCATCAACCCATGTTAGAGCACCAACATTCACTGCCGCAAGCTGAACATCATCACGAGCACCCCTCGTACGGTACAAATAGCGAAACCGCCGCATCTGCTACCCCTTCCCGCAGACCCTCATTTCATCAAACCATCTCATCCAAAATGACCCAACTTGTGACTCGGGCTGAAAAGCCATGCGACAACGATGACAGCCAATGCTATGGAGACCTATGCGAGATTCGCCCTGCACGCTTGCAAAGCCGGAAATCCCTCGCCAGCCTCAACGCAGCTACACCTTCCGGTATGAGTAGAAGTCAGACACTTCACGTGCCCACCGATCGTCGTGTATCCGCACTAGAGGACGTAGACGAATCCTCGCCCTTGATTCCTTCCAAGTCCGTCCCTGCAACCTTGGATACTTCTCCCACAGACGAATCCGCTGTTGCAAACGGCCATGCACATGCGAGTGGAAGACAGAAACATAGTCGTAGCTCTTCAGCCTCTTCTTTCGCATCATCGTCTCACTCGCACTCGCACCATCATCACGGCCTCGAAGCCTCGCAACACCACCACCATGTTCCAACAAATGTATTCCTCTCGCTTGGTCTCCAAACTAGCACCGCCATCGCGCTGCACAAGATTCCCGAAGGATTCATTACATATGCTACCAACCACGCAAACCCCACGCTTGGCTTCTCCATCTTCCTCGCTCTCTTCATTCATAACATCACCGAGGGCTTTGCACTCGCTCTACCCCTCTATCTAGCCATCAACTCCCGTTGGAAAGCTATGCTCATCTCAGCGGTTCTCGGTGGCGTGAGTCAGCCACTGGGCGCAGCCGTTGCCGCATTGTGGTTCAAGGTACAGGGTAAGGAAAGACAGGAGGAGGGTGGTATGGATGTGGTGTATGGATGCATGTTTGCGGCGACGGCAGGTATTATGACAATGGTCAGCTTGCAGTTGCTGGGCGAGAGTCTGGAATTGACCACGAGTCGGAAGTTGTGCTTTATTTCGGCGTTTGCAGGCATGGGCATATTGGGTTTGAGTAGTGCGCTTACGGCATAGGAGTAAGGGTTGAGCATTAGCAACGGATTGCATGGTAGGATATATGGTTCTCTCAATTATATGGCGGGAGTGCATGGTTACTAGGGACTGAGTCACATGGTCATGTTACTTGGTAGGATACATGGTTTTGTTAAGTTATAAGGCGGGCATGCATGGTTACCAAGGACTAAGTCATATGGTCATGTTATTTGTATAGTATGATTCAGAGCACGGCGCGAGCTTTTGGACATGTATGAGAATGTAAGTCGCCTCTTTACATGATACAAAGCGCTTATTTCCTAGTATAAGCTTATCCATGGAGTAATCCAGCAGCCGTCGCCGTCTTTGACGGCCAGCTTTCGCCAATCAAACAATAACCAACGGCCTAGTCAATGACCGCATAACAAGCGCTGCCACCCATACCATCCATTACCAACCCCACTCAGCCTAGCCTACTCAATCCCTCGCGTCAAAGTCTTCGGGCCTCCCCGGGTATTCTTCCGTAGGCTGAGCAACAATATTTTCCACTTCGGTTTTTGCTTCTTCCCAAGCCGCCTTGTTCCGTTTTGCCCAGTCAATGTGACACTGTGCGAACTCCATCTACGAAACTTGATCAGTACAATTTCCCACCATGCAAGATACACGCCTGACTTACCATGTACCGCCGCAGGTCATCTTCCTTTTCGTTTTGGAATCTCCGCAAGTCTTTTAGCACACCCGAACTCGCGTCCTTTGTGTCCTTCTCCGCCACGGTTAATGCTTGTTCAAGCTAGCCATGGTTAGCACTTTCATCACTCGTTCAGCATGTATATTGCATACCTGTACCATACTGTCTCTGGTTTTGCCAATCTGATCCCTCCGCGTCTTCTCAGGATCAACATCCGCCATACCCCTGAAAGCGTGCGTAATGGACCCAAAAGCTTATCGTGACAAAGTTCATCGCCCTGTGGTGGATTCTGCAGTGTACTAGGTGGCGAATGATTACTAGGCGCACCTTGAGCGCTTGACGGGGTTTCGCCATGTGTGGGTGGGAAGTCTGAATCAATTGATGCCCTGTCCTCGTCTTGTCGTCCGTCTGACTCTGTACTACTGCGCTGTGAGCTGTTTGACGCTGAGCGATTCCGCGGAGGAGGCATCTGGCTCACGCCGCTGAGATGCTGTTCCAGACGCTTTGATTCCGCTTCGCTACGTTCAAGGGACTCGAGGAGGTTGCGCTTCTTCTCCAGTTCGTCCTTTGTCATGTCTTCTTGTATGCGTTTTAGAACCCGGTATCTGAGGACGGACCGTACGACGCCGGCGAATTGTGCACTCTCGCGCATAGGTTCGGAGAAGCTTGCGCTGAGCGAGGAAGATAGTTCGGTAGTCGCAATGTACGTGGAATCGACGGCTTGCCCGGTCTTTTCTATGGCAGCAGCAAGTGTCTGTGTCTGTTCTGATAGCGAAAAGGCGTTGAAACGAGCACCCAGATCTGCCATGTCCTCTCCCCAGTTCCCGAGATGCATCAATAACCGCCTATTAACCTTCTCCATAGGGCCTTGTAGTAGGTGCTCCAGGTCTTTGGACGAGTTCTCAAAACTGACAAAGTATGGGTCTAGCTCTTCCTCTGACATGTCACGCGTCTCGGGCGGAAAGCGACCAAAGATTGCGGGGCCTGGTGTCGTGTGCGCCGCTGCGGAAGGCATTGCGGCATTGTTCGCTGGTGACACTGGTGTGCCTGAACTAGACGTGGCGCCGCCAGACTTGAGTTTTGCCGAAGAGGAAGGCACCGGAAGGTAGCTGTGTGCTTGTGAAGGGTTTGCAGTATCGAGCGGGGGCGCCTTGAGGATTTGCTTGGGAATGTTGGAGATGGGTGGGCTGTTGAGTACGTCGGCCTGGAGGAGCGTGTTAGCTGAATAAGGAAACAGCTTCAAAACTAAAGAAGCATACCCAACTTGTATATGGGTCAAGGAACCTCCAGAATACACCGTCTTCTAATATGTCCTTCATCTTCCGGCACCGATTCAAGAATACGGCCAACATGCGCTTCCGCAACTCAATAATACCAGCATCTTCTTTTGCCTTTGTGGGCTTCGCCGCGTAGTCGGCCATAGTGTGCTTCTCGGGTATGGGAGGAACAATTAGGGTTGGGTGCAATCTGACCAGTTCGGTACGCAACGAAGCGAACTCGGAGTATCGGCGCTTTACTTCTAGACCCTGTCGCCTATTAGTGAGTGCTATATTGTTGCATCAGGTCAACATACACCACAATTGATAGTGTACTGTATGTAGTTGACGCCATCCTTGCCCGCGCTCGTAATCAACACCAGTTGGTCAGGGTGCTCGTATAGCCATTGCTCTACGCGCGCATCGTAACCACCCTTTTTTGGCGCCTTGGAATCACCTCTGTCTTCGTTGTAGTCGACGTCACTCATGTCCCGCTGGGAGACATATTCTGGCGACTCTGCGGGGGAAGATGCTGCCTCCGACGGCGGAGTCGCGGGACGGTATGGAACTTGGTAAGAGTCAGCTGGCGACTACATAACTCTAAACAGCACTTGAAAACCTTACGGGCAGCCGGTGAGGCTATACCGGGTATGTCGGTGGAATCATGGCGGGCAAAGGAGCCATATGGATTGTTGTCTTCGTCGTCCCACATGGCGGCGCGGTTGGATGTGCGTGCTGGGATTCAACTGAGTATGTTTTCCAGTACTTCCTATGGCGAAAATGTGCAGGACAAATACCAGCACGTGAAGGTAATGTTGCGCGATCTCACCTTGGATATGGTAAGCTCCAGGCTCTCGCGGCAGCGACAGTGACGTTGCGCCTGGTCCGTGCCACATGCCCGTTCAATCTTAGCCATAGCACCGCCTGCCGGCCTGCATGCCGTGACGATCCCCACTCCACTGCACTACCATCGGAGAGACACACCTGGGGGGGATAAAATACTTGACAGTGTAGGTAAGACGTACCAGGCGTGTTTGGCGACTACAGTGGCTTTGGTACACTACTATGTCAAGTATTTTACGACACCAAGGTGAACCTGTCGAATTATATTGCGTGTTCTATAGCCGACTGTCGGATCGTGAGTATCGGTAGAGACGTCGGCTGCTGGACACTTCGGCCCGACTTCGGCCCACCTTGCGCAAGAGCTTAGGTATACCTTCGTAGCACCTATGTTCGTAGATATCAATTAGAACCACCGAACAGAATGCATTCCTAGTTATCGTTATTTCCCTTTACGCACTTAGTGCAAAGCCAACCAACACTGATCAGTGATTGCTTGAGGCGATCACAGACAGCAAGGAAGAAGAGACAGACCGCATCTTTGACAGCCTCCCTAACGCACGACGTTATACTCCTGAGAGAAGATTCTGTGCTAAGAACAGAGCGAGGCAGAGATAACGCATAGCGATCAAAACCTCCCTCTAAGCTGCTAATCCAGGCCGAAGCTCGATTACAGCGCGTCAGCAACGCACAAAGACACACTGTTGAAATCCCGACGCGAGAAGTCTTGGGACGACTACAGCACGTCAGCAGCGCAGAGCGACAGACTATTGATATCCCGACGCGAGAAGTCTCGGGACGACTATAGTGCGTCAGCAACGCGTAGCGATTCCGTACGAGCGTCCCCGGACGATCCTATCACGTACAACCACAAGCGCTGGAACCGACCAACCAGCTAGACAAGACAAGGCAACGCGTCAATATACACCGGCACGATGGCAGGCAGCCAGAGCAACTCTGGCGATACAGACGCTGATGTTCAAGAGCAACTACTCAACTATCCATCCGAACGCAATACAAGCAAGCGCGCAGAAACTATATCCCCAGGAGCGAAGTTTACTGCTGAACACCTTATGCGACACTGTCCATACACAGTCACGTTTGACTATATCAACCCATCTCTCTGGGGTGTACCCGCACCAGAGGATGCAGACGAGACGCACGCAACAACCTGGGTCGCGAAGGCTATCCACGACTACCATGTAGGAATGGAATGGGATGAGAGACTATACTTCGACTACCAATGGGACTTTGAAGGATGGACACGAGAGCTATTCCAGAAGGTTGAGCGCACTACGCTAAGATCTCTGAAGACTGTGCTCCGGTATAGGGGAGTCTATACAGGCAAATTTCGGGCTAGAGTAGCTGATTCCCTCTTCAACTTACTAGGAGGAGAAAACGCTCCCGAATGGGACCCTGCAGAGTTCAAGGCCGAGAAGTTTGACGAACGTTCTGAGGCGTACCAGCGTCAGCAGAACGCACATCTAGCAGCCCCTATAGATAGACAAGCGCAGCAGCCACTGCAACAGACGCAGCCACTGGAACCGCTACAGCCGCAGCCACAACGTCCGTCACAGGGCGAGCAGTATAGAGTGAGACAAGGCGTTCGAAGCCACCCGCAATATCAAGAGCTACAACAACCGCCCTACGCGATCAATGCCTATGCAGGACCACAGCCTCGACAAACGGAGCAGGCTATGCAACCACAACAATGGTACCCGCAGACACAGACACGACCCCCAGCGACCGCATACCGCGAGGTGACACCTTTCCCTCAGCAACCTACAAACCGAGTACCTGACAGACCCCTTGGCCTACCACATGACCCGTACAAGACGCTACCGCCGCGATGGTCTCGCAACGATCGGCTCGAAGCCAATACGATCACGCAGTTCTCTAAGCTATGGGACAATAGCAACAAGTATACAGGGAATGCGTACGATCTCCTAGACGATAAAGTTAAGATCTTCTTCAGCATCTGCTGGCAGGTAGATATCCAGGAGGAGCAGTTTCACGCAGTGTTTCCCCGTATCCTTACCGGGCGTGCAGAGACGTTCTACATACAGGTTGTAGAGAGAGATGATAGCTTTGCTGATGCGTACATGGCAATCAAAAACCACTTCGACCATGACGTCCATCACCAGCACTACTACACAGACTGGACGACTACAACCTTCGCTCGCACCCGCGCAGAGAACCCTGATAAGGGACTACACGAGGTTCTGCAGATCCTGCTTGACAAGCTGCAGCTATGCCAGCGTGCCCTTGGCAAGAACTTTGAGGGTGAGGATGCCCTCCGCACTACGGTCATCAATGCCTGCCGAGGAGTACCAGAACTTGAGATGGCACTGTTCAAGCCAGCCACAATCTGTGAAGGACTCTTCTCAGATCTACGATCCGCAGTGGAAACACACCTAGCATGGCAACACACCGCCCAGTTGGTCACAGAAGATCAATACTACCTAGACCGCCGATACAACGGCAATGGAAGGATCCGAGGTGGATCTCGAGGTGGAGGAGGATTCAGAGGCGGATCCAGAGGAGCATACCGAGGAGGCGAGCAGCGCGACGACAACGGACGAGGATTCAAGCCACGTTGGAGGAAGAAATGCTTTGTTTGCCGGAAGGAAGGATGCTGGTCTACCAACCACACAGATAAAGAGCGCAAAGATGCCCGTGCGCAGTTCTTCTCTACGCTATACTTTACAGGTGCACAGCCCCCTGAGGACTTCTCCGTACATCTTGCAGAATACGAAGGGATCGAGCACACCAGCCAGTACAATCAGAGAGGCTGGAGAGAGGAGGAAGACTGCGAGGATGACGAGGATGACGACGTCGCGGAAGCACATTCTGAACACCAGTTCTTCAAGGAGCAATGCCTTGCAGACCAGGCGTTCTTGCATCATATCTCGGGCGACGACATATACAGCCGAGACGCGCCGTCAGCACCAGCATCGCAGTTCCTGCTTGAGGACCGCTACACACGATCTGTGTACCAAGGAATCCTACCAGATACAGGCGCTGCAAACGTATCCACGGTCGGCAAGGAGCAATACCTCGCACTTACGAGAGAAGATCCGACGGTTAAGTTAGACACATCTACAGCAGGGAAAGCGTCTATTAAATTCGGAAAAGGCGAGGCTACAGCGTCGATTGGCACCGTGCAGGTCTCTACGGAGATCGGAAAAATCAACTTCGAAGTGCTCGAGGCGCCTACGCCGTTCTTGCTATGCCTTGCAGACATGGACCGCTTAAAGGTATACTTCAACAATACGACAGACGAGCTGGTTCAGGATGACGTACACATCCCGGTGATTCGCAAATGGGGACATCCTTGGTTCCATCTAAACAAGAGAGAGAGAGCAACTATGTTCCTAACGGAGACAGAATTGCGACGGCTCCATCGACGGTTTGGACACCCAGCTGTTACGCGACTAGTCAAACTCTTAAAGGATGCTGGCCATAACGACTTCGAAGAAAGAACCCTAGAAGAAGTCACTAAGTTCTGCCACCACTGCCAGCTCCACAGCTCCGCGCCGCGCCGATTCAAATTCACTCTTAAGGATGATCACCACTTCAACTATGAGATCCTGGTGGACGTAATGTACCTAAGCAACAAACCTGTACTGCATGTGGTCGATTCCTCAACAGCGTTTCAAGGCGCGAGGTTCCTCAGCGCTATCTCAGCTAAAGAAACATGGCAAGCACTGCGGATACTATGGATCGACACCTACCAGGGACCACCCGACATCATCACGCATGATGCAGGTACTAACTTCGCGAGCGCAGAGTTCCGCGCAGAAGCAAAGATCATGGGAGTCACATGCAAGCAAGTACCTACGGAGGCGCACTGGTCTATCGGCAAAACTGAGAGGTACCATGCCCCTCTACGCCGGGCATGGGACATACTCCATGCAGAACTCACTGACACTATGTCCGACGACGCGATTCTCCAGATGGCTGTGAAGGCTGTTAACGATACTGCTGGCCCTGATGGACTAGTCCCGACGTTACTAGTCTTTGGAGCGTACCCACGAATGACTGCAGAGTCACCGCCATCACCATCAATGGTCAAACGCAGCGAGGCTATTCAAAAGGCGACGAAAGCCCTGCGCAAGCTCACTGCAGAGCGCCAAGTTGCAGACGCCTTGAACACCCGCAATGGACCAGCCACTGCAGACATGCTCGCGCTCCCACTCCAGAGCGAAGTCTTAGTATGGAGAGAGAGTGATGGCTGGAATGGCCCGTACAAGATCGCCAGTACAGATGGCCACAACATCACTGTCGACATGGTTAATGGTCCAGCGACATTCAGATCAACTGTCGTTAAGCCATACTACAGACCAGACCACCTGTGGAGCGACCCTGATGCGCCACACGCGCCGAATGAGCCGAATGAGCCGCACGAGCCGATAGCAGTACCTCCGGCAGCGCAACCACGTAGAAGAGGCCGCCCTCCAGGGTCAAAGAACAAGCGGAAGGCGCACGCGTACATCACCAAGAAGGAGCAGGACGATCTTGAGCTAGCTATCAAGCTACGGAACGATGGCGTGATCACAACCTCAGGCGCCCCCTTTGAAGCGTCTGATGACCAAGAGATCAGCGACCTAGTAGGTCGTGGAGTCTTCAAGTTTGAGCAATACGACGAGAGGCTACACAGCAAGATCCGGATCTTTAAGTCACGCCTAGTACGTGAGGTCAAGGGAAAGACAACTAAGCCTTATGAGAAATCCCGTCTGGTTATCCAAGGCTACCAAGACTATGGCAAGGAGGCTATCTTAACGCAGTCGCCAACCATCCAGCGATGTAGCCAGCGCCTGATTATGTCGCTGGCGCCTGGGCTAGTACAAAGCGGCATGAGCGTTGAGCTACGTGATATTACGCAGGCATACCCACAGGCTCAGACAACACTGAAGAGGACGATACTCGCACACCTCCCTACCGAGCTGGTACATCGATATCCAGAAGGCACGATACTCCACGTGATCAAGCCACTATATGGGATCGCGGAGGCAGGAGTCCACTGGTGGACAACATATCACGGACACCACTGCAAGGAACTAGATATGTCAACATCTACGTACGACCCATGCCTGTTGATCACGAACAGCGACGACGCAGACGTCTTCGGCATCGTCGGTATGCAGACAGACGACACCCTCATGCTCAGAACGACCGCGTTCTTATCACGCGAAGAGAAAAAGATCCAGAAGGCGCAGTTTAGATCAAAACCAAAGGCTATGCTGACACCAGAGGTGCAGTTAGACTTTAATGGATGTACACTTACGATGGACGCCAGCAGAGTCTTAATCCTCAGGCAGAAAGGACAAGGAGGAAGGATCAGGCTTGTTGATATTAGGGCACCCGACCGCGCGCAACAGTACACCGAGCAACGCGCCCGCGGAGCGTACATCGCATCAACATGCCAACCAGAGGCATCATTTGATCTGTCCGTAGCTGCTCAAGCGCAGCAACCATCAGACGAGGACATTAAGGCACTCAACAAGCGCCTGAAATGGCAGATGGAGAATCTCACTCGTGGCCTACGCTACGTCACTGTCAACCTTACGGAGGCTAAGTTGATAGTCTTTGTAGACGGCTCCTTTGCCAACAACAAGGACCTCAGCTCACAGCTAGGCTTTGTCCTCATGCTCGTCAACGAGTCCATTGGCGCCAACACCTTCACAATACAAGGCAACGTGATCCACTACAGCTCTACAAAGTGCAAGCGCATCACACGGAGCGTACTGGCCTCAGAGATCTACGGCATGGTCAACGGCTTTGACATAGGCATCGCGGTTGCAACCACGCTAAGGATAGTTACAGAACGACTTGGACTACCTGCAATTCCCTTGGTTATCTGTACAGACTCGTACTCCTTGTACGAGTGCCTAGTAAAGCTTGGGACAACGAAGGAGAAGCGCCTCATGATCGATATTATGGCGCTGCGCCAATCATATGAGCGTCGCGAGATCACGGAGATCCGCTGGATCAATGGCGAAGACAATCCTGCAGACGCCTTCACGAAGGCATCGCCAAACCGCGCTCTTGAACGCTTTATTGACGGCAATAAGCTGACAGTCCGAGTAGATGGATGGGTGCAGAGGCCAACAAGCTTTGATGTTTAATGCTATACACTGTCACTACCGATACAAGCAGAGTTACTAGCTATCCAGAAAGAAAAGACTTCCAGTGTCGGATCGTGAGTATCGGTAGAGACGTCGGCTGCTGGACACTTCGGCCCGACTTCGGCCCACCTTGCGCAAGAGCTTAGGTATACCTTCGTAGCACCTATGTTCGTAGATATCAATTAGAACCACCGAACAGAATGCATTCCTAGTTATCGTTATTTCCCTTTACGCACTTAGTGCAAAGCCAACCAACACCGACAATATTTATACGAATTACTCATCATTCTTCACACCTCGCTCGCTTTATCATTCGCGACATAGTGCTGCGTCGCGTTGACTTCCTCGCCTTCCAATACACCTGTAATCGTCCCGACATTCTCGTGGTCAAAGAAACCTTCATGCGCGGCCATGTCCTCAAACGACAAGTACCTCTCTGTGCCACTCGGTAACAGCTGTACCGGCCATACAAGGCATAAAACATAGTATACTACGCCGCCCATGCAGAACGATAGCAAGAACCCGAGCTTGTACATGTTCTTACTAGCCTCGGCAACAGAGTTAGCATTCAATGATCCAGCCACACCATGGACCGTGAAAGCCACCCCAGCCACCCACGCTGTGAGCATTCGGAGATTCCAGCCTTTGTAGTACGAGTAGGGGCTTTCTGGCCATGAGCTGTACAGCGAGGGCACATGAAAGTTGCCCTTTCGTATAAGCCAGTAGTCGATGATCATACATGCGCAGATGGGCATCAAGAAAACCGTGTAGGAGCCCAGGAAGGTCAGAAAGGACTTTGCAGAGGCGATGATTTTCCAAGGAACAAGCAGAGGTGCCAGAATGGCGCACAATACTTGACCTCGAACGATGGTCAGCCAGCGTGGGAAGATGCCTGTGAGATCGGCGCCCACAGGGAGCGAGTTACTGCCAGCGTTGGTGACAAGCACCGCCAACATCATACCAAAAGAAGCAAAAACCATTCCTGCGCGAGCACCAGGCGTCCAATATTGATCTAGGATGGCTCCGTAAAGATCCCGAACGTTCCAGTAGCTTTTCCCGAGTACCTGGGTTGCTGCCGCTGTAGTCGCCGTACTGAGAAACATGACCAGAACTTTGCTGAACAGAATGCCGATACCCTGACTCCAAGTTACATCACTGTAAGAATGGCCGTAACGTGCTATATCCGGCTGATTGATCAGCACAGGCGCGAGGGCCCCCATGACAGAGTTGATGGCCTGTATCATAGGCCATACCAGATCTGAGCCGGAGAGCTGGGTTTGCGCGGTTGTGTAAGAAAAGTCCCCAATCTTGACTCCATTCGCAGAGATCACCCATCCCAGCACGCCGAAGAGCGAGATAGTCGTATAGACTGCTTTAACCACAAATAGATGTCGAAGTACAGTAGGGTGGATGAACATGATCGGCATTTGAACCTGCTATCGTCAACTCTCTGTACGATGCTACGCAGAATTGGAGGAAGTGGATACGCACCATCCAGAATAGGAAAAAGCTCAACAGGTCCCTCGAGGTTATACCCGCGCTCTCTGGAAGGTGGTTTGTGATGTTATTGTATCCATTGCCGAAGATACCACGCATGAAGACCGTCGTGATGCGCCCTCCATAGTACGTCTGTGTCGCAAAGTAAATTACGGCAACAATGGCTCGTACAAGAATGTACAAGCTTGCACCTCTCACACCCGCAGCTGCACGAACATAAACTGGAAACCCGATAAAGTACTTTACCGCGCCGCGACTGTTCAGAACCACGAGAATGGTCAAAATGAAAGACCCGATAACAGCGGCGATCATACCATGCCACCAGAGGAGGCCAGTGGATACGAGAGAGGCACCGAGGTTGTATGAAGAGGGACTAAAGGTCATAGTAAGGTAGTACGCGAAGTAATGCTGCCATCTCCATCTTCGATCCTCTTGTTTTTGTCAGCTGAGGCTTCTATCAGATCAAAGAGTTGAATGGATTACCCAGAGGACTAGGAAGGAGGTCTTTGTTGTATCGCACCTTCCCATGAGCTCGTGTTGTTTGTAGGGCCTTGTTGAAAGACGTCGGAGAACCAAATGCAGCTTTGCTTCGCTGCAAAAACCGCGACATTTTGGAGAGTCCGGTTTGGTCGTATTTTGAGTAACTCAAACGCTCCACCGGGCAATCCTACCGTTGAAGCGATTGCGGCGATATATGCATGCTGGCCGTCCGTTCGAAGGCCTGTAGCACATCTTGCCACAACATAGCTGCCAAGCTTCCATATCACTCAGATAGCTGGACTGCACAGTTGGAGAAAGACGGAATTGTATGTAGATGATAAGGCGATAACGATTCGGGATGAAAGAAGCCGATTGACAAGGGAAGAGATGGAGTGGAGAACAGCCGATACTAGTGCGACAAAGTGCTAGCGCAGTGCACATCTACGATAACGTCAGGAACAGGAAGGTGCGATTGTGGTGACATCACAACCTTCCTTTCTCGACTCCACCGTTCACAGCTCAAAGTCCGATTCTGAGTGGTAGCTATAGCTCCAACACAGCAGTGATTTATCCCAACGCTAACTACGAACCACCCGTCTTCGAGCCCGGTCTGTACGGAAACGTATTGCGGTAATGATGCGCAATATCCCTCCGACTCGCAACCCATACGCCTTCCTTCTGCGATATATACTTCATGAAGTTACGTAGACTCTCCGATCTTCCTGGCTTACCAGCTATTCTCGAATGTAGCGGAATCGTCATCATCTTGCCGCCTTCTCTGTATAGGCAATCAAACGTGTCCTTGAGATACTGTTCGTATACAGCACCAGCTGAACTCACAAAACCGGGAAGCATATGGAACTTTCCGTCGTTGCCTTTGGTAACTGTTAGCTCAGGGTGTGCGAGTTGGAAGAGACTGGGCTCACAGTCGTAGTTATATGGCAGCATCAGCAGGCCCTCCTTTTCGTTATCAGGAAGTTCCTTCTCCCAAGGTAGATCAATCCAATACGGTGAGTCTTCATTGTAGACTTCGGAAGTATACAGCATCTTATGCCCCATCTCTTTCCACATGATTGGAAGTAAACTAGCCGTATTCGGTGTTCCTCTGCCAAAGTACGCTCCAACAGGAAACTCACCTGTTTACGTTTAGCTCAGTTCGTTCTTACCATACTACAGTCATATATACCTGTAGCTGCCTCCAGCGTCTGGCATGTCTTCTTGATATACGCTTTGTCTTCTTCCAAAGAATAATCCCAGATATCGAGCCATCTATACCCATGTGCGCCTATTTCATGACCATCTCGAACACATGCTTTCGCAAACGTGGGATTTCGTTCCATTGCCACTGCGATGGCCCAGAGGGTCATGTTCCACCCGAATTCTTTCATTAGACGGAGTATACGCCATGCGCCACATCGGCTACCATACTCGTAGTCTTGCTCGCCATTTAAGTGGCGCTGGTCTTTACCGCCACCCGAAGGACCCTTTTCCCAGAGATAAGGCTCGCTGGTGCCGTCGCCATCTAGGGGGTTGCGCTCGCCGCCTTCTTCGTAATTGAGGACAAAGGATACTGCAATTCGCGCACCATTGGGCCATTGTGCATCGTGGCCGTCTTCCCCAAACCCTAAGATATGGTTTAGTATGCGTTGGGGCGCATGGAATAGGGTGAAATACCTTCGAAGTCTCGGGGAAGTTGAAGACTATCTTCTACATGGACCATGGTGGCTATGAAACCTTTCGTATACAAGTATTAACAAAAACCAAATTGCGCGATGGAAAAAGACCGTGTTCATATATAATCGACTATCTCTCTATTGATTACCGAGGGGTTTTATTCTCTCAGAAACCCCAAGATGCGGGACGGGTTCTAGCATCGATATCCTGATACAGACGCGATATTTGATCAAAACGACCTGCCTGATTAAGACAGTAACTCAGTGTATGTTTAGGTAACAAGGGCAAATTATTGACTACATGTTTGGATGATCCGTTTATCGGAAGCAACCATCCCGACGATCTATCCGGCATCCCACTAGCCCCGCCTTGCCCTTATCGATCCTTCCTGGGGGCTGGACCACATGTTCTTACACATGCCGAATGAACGGCACCTTCTAATCAAGGATATATGTCGGTGATTATCCGCGCTATGTTATGCAGGAGTATTATTCATGCTCGAATATGTAGTTGTGGACGCATGCTAAAGTTTGCCGAAGTAGAAGATCAATGAATCCGAGGCTTGATGGTACTCACTAATACGACTAAAAATCACATCACACCCGTATTTACTGGATCATCTCTGGATACTTTCTCGACTTTTGTTTCGTATCTTGACCGTTGTTAGTTTACTAGGATGTCGGTATTTTCTCTCGACGCAAGTAATGACAATCCCGTTACGAAAGAAACTCTAGAGGGGCTATGCTCTGAACTCGGCGTAAGGATAGCAGAGCAGGAGAAAGAGGACTACCACCGACTACTAGCCGTCTTCCACGATGCCAGTAAGCAGTTGATAGCATTAGATGGTGAGTTAACATTATTACCATTGTTATTGCGAAAGACACACTAAAAAAAGGCCTAGACTATGTTCCCTACGTTGATAACGAGCGTTTTCCACGTGAAAGCATATACTTCCCAGAGAAAGCCGAAAACTCCCATGGAGCCTGGGCATGGAAGTGTAGCATCATCGACAAGCAATCAAACCACGGCAAGCTCCACAGCAAAACATTCGCTCTCAAGGACAACATAGCTGTCAAAGATGTGCCCATGCTTCTAGGTACCAACTTTATCAAAGGCTATGTTCCAGATGTCGATGCAACAGTCACAACGCGCATCCTAGAAGCCGGCGGCCATATTCTAGGAAAAGCAGTCTGTGAGAACTTATGTCATTCTGCCACAAGCCATTCATCCAGCACCGGAATAGTCGAAAGCCCAGTTGCAATGGGCTATAGCGCAGGCGGAAGCTCAAGTGGGTCAGGTGTTCTTGTAGCTCTAAGCGAGGTAGATGGGGCTATTGGAGCAGACCAAGGCGGTAGTATTCGTGTACCAGCTGCCAACTGTGGTATCGTCGGATTGAAACCAACATTCGGACTCGTACCATATACCGGATGTGGAAGCAATGAGCCAACAAACGACCACATCGGCCCCATGACACGAACAGTGCTAGAGAATGCTCTCCTTTTAGAAGCAATAGCCGGAACAGATAACATCGACGACCGCTCCTTCGCCGCGCCAAGTCCGTCCAGAGTCCCGGTGTACACTTCCATAGTCAACATGCCAGCTGAGCAACCACTGTTCGGCAAGAAATTCGCCATCATCAAGGAGTCACTCTCGACACCTGCAATGGACACCCGTGTCATCCAAACTTTCCTCGTCGCAGTAGAAAAGTACACCTCTCTTGGCGCCACCGTCACCCAGATAAACATCCCCCTCCACTCCAAAGGCGCCGCAATATGGACTGGCGTCTCAAAAGTCGGAGGCTACCTTTCAAAAACGACAGGACAGTTTGGCCGTCGCGGCCACCAAATGCTGCCTCTAAACTCCCTGTTCTACCCCATGTCGCAGGCAAATTGGGACGAAGCATACGCCTCTACTAAGAACATATATCTCAATGGCCTTTATGCCACAAAACAGTTCCCCAACCTCCTCGCCAAAGCAACGAATCTCTCGCGGCAACTGCGAGATGCGTACGATACGGCGCTGGATCAGTATGATGTCTTGCTTACCCCTACCCTGCCGTATGTAGCAACGAGCCATGCGGCTGTGGATGCAACGCCCCTGGAGCAGATTGCCAAACAAATCGGTCTCACAGCCAATACGGCACCGTTTAACCAGAGTGGACATCCAGTTCTAGCACTACCCATTGGCATGTTGGGTGTGCTAGAGGGGCCTGGGTTGGAAGCGGGGGTAAAGTTACCGGTTAGCATGCAGATTATCGGCAAGTGGTGGGATGAGATGGGCGTGTTTGAAGCGGCATATGCATGGGAGAGGGAAAATAAATGGAGGGATATGTGAAGAGATACAAGTGGGTTCGAAAGGTTTGAATACGATTGAGATTAATTCAAGCCCTTTCGCCATCTAGCTCAACGCCTATAGAGTAATACTCCTCCTCAATCACCCCAAAAGAGAACCCAGAGGACCATTTATTCGTATTCACGGGAGTATCCTGATACGGAGAGAGTGGAGGGTCAAACTGTATCGTTGGCCCTAAAACCCAGAATATGTCTTCCTTGTTTGCCCGTATGTAGGGAGACAGTTGTTCAACCACGTCGCTAATAGTGACGATACCGCCATCTATTCCCAGGACTACTAACCGACGGGGCTTTTTGTAGCCTGGAGTTTCGATGTAGCTCCGTGTTTCAATGCTGAAAGCGAGCTTGTGGCATGGAGGCGATGTAGCGGGGGCTTTTTCGATGGGATGGCCGTGAAAGAGGGATAGCGAGGATGTACGCTTGTTGGAGGGGTCCGAGTATACTTGGATGTGGGATGTGCCTCCAAAGACATACCAGCACAGGCTGTCGAAATCATCGCTTACAGTCATGACATTTTCGTATTCCATCGCACTTTCGTTGCTGCTTTCGTTGTCGCTGTCGTTGCTGCCTTCGTCCGAGTTTTCATTGTCGGTATCATTGGCGGGGAGATCTGTGACTTTGGTCTCACTCTCGGCCGTGTAATTGTTGGTATTCGTAGCCATCATTGGTATGTGTGTGGAACAGGAGGTTATGGGAAGTGTTTAAAAGGAGGGGGAAAAGAGAAAGCTTTTGCACAGTTTTAAGCTGCCAAGCACTGCTGCCTGCTGAAATATGCTAATATGTGGGAGTAAGGTTATGAGGAGGACCTGGGCGTCATAACATATTTGACAGTGTGGGCAATAGATGCGTCTGGCCACTACAGTGCGTACACTAGTATGTCAATTATACTATGTCACTCAGGTGGGAGTGACGAGGCGGCGTATCAACTTGCTTGGGATATCGATGCGATTAATTCTAAGCTATATAGTGGAATTGTCATGGGAACCGTTAAACAAAAGGAAACGCTTGGTGTCAAAATCAGAACGACGTAACTTAGGTATCGAAGAGAAAAGCATCACAACGTAGCACCACTCATCCTGCGCCCTCCAGCGGGGGCGTTTTTCTTTTCAGTATCCTCAACTGGATTCACAACGACTTGCTCGCTGCCACTATCCGACCTCTCCACCTTCTTCTCCTCATCCATATTAACTTCATCCGGTCGTTGTAGCCCCTTGTCCTTGATCAAAAAGCACCCAATGAGACACAGCGCAATAAACGACACGTTCATGTAGAATACTGTGCGACTCGCTTTCGCATAAGCCTGGACAATCTGTGTAGTTTCTTCCTCCCCAAGCTTGGCAAAATTCGGAGTTTCATAAGCTGACAAGTCCTCCCGGTAGTTCTTTGGCAAAGCCTGATATAGTGAATTTTGCAATACCGCCGCCGAAATCGCCAGACCAACAGCTCCACCTAAGCTGCGAATAAAGTTTCTGTTCGAGATGACAATCGCACGTTGAGCTCTGGTGCAGTGTGCTTGCAGGGCGATAAGGACCGGTTGGAAGACCATGCCTATGCCGATGCCGGTTACCATGAGGATCAAGACAATGACGTACATGGGTGTGTTGACGCCGAAAATGCAGGTTAAACCTGAGCCGAGGGTCCATAGAAAGAATCCTAACCAGATGATCTCTCCGTAGCGTCCTTGACGCGAGATGTACTGACCCGAGAGAATGGAGGAAGTTGCTTGGAAAGAGGTCAAGGGAAGCATGAGGCAAGCTGATTTCATGGGTGAGAGGCGTTGTGCATTTTGAAAGAAGAGGGGAAGGTAGAAGGTTTGGCTGTAAGCGACGATGCCGAAGAGAAAGTTCTGAGCGAGCATGACAGCAACAGGGGTGTTCTTGAAGAGCGATACTATTGTTCTTTGTTAGTTTGTGTATGGATACAAGCTTGGGGGAATACGCACGCGGCATCATAGGCAACAAAGCAACACTGCGTTCAACATAAATGAAGAGCAGCGAGCAAATACTCCCAATCGTCAACATCGCAATGACCTTGGGACTATCCCAGTCAAAGTAGTCACCACCCCCGGCTATCGGAATCAATAGTAGTATCAAAGCCACACTGCCAAAGAATATGCCACCAAAGTCGATTTTCTTCATCACCTGCTTGAATTCGACCTTTGGCCGATCCGTACTCGTCGGCAATAGCCAGAGACACAGCAAGCCGGATGCAACAGCAGCAGGACTGAAGGACCAAAAGAAACCTCTCCAAGAACCGCCTTGCACAAAAGCGGCAGCGACGAAAGGTCCGACGATGTTTCCCATGCCGACGGCAGCGCCAATTATGCCCTGCCATTTTCCACGTTGCTCGAGCGTAACGACGTCGGAAACAATCATTGCGGACAGGGAGGCTACGCCGCCGTTTGCGACACCAGAGAAGCCTCGGAAGACGTAGAGCATGACGTCGTTTTTGGCAAACCCGCAGAGGAGGTCCGATATGGCGAGGAGAGCTAGTGCCCAGAGCAAAGTGGGTTTTCTACCTATGATGTAAGTGTCAGCCATTGCAAATCTCTCTTTATCGATCCAATTTCGGCGTCTTTGCTCGACGCTAAAGAAAACAACGCGTACATACCGAATAAATCGCTCAGCCTTCCATAGAGAACTTGGAAAATCGTATTTGATATCAGCGCACTGGTTCCTGCCCAGCTAATCGTATCTTGAGCATTGAGATCCCGTCCAATTGCCGGTAGAGCAATACCTATTCCTGTCTGTTCGGCATAGCATATGAGTTGGCAAATTGCGAGGGCCCCAACGGTGACAAAGACCTTTCTTGGTGGGAGCAGGTTAGTCTGGTCAAAGATTGCGGCTTCTGCCGCACGCCGTTGGTCTTTCATTGCGGTCATGTTTCCTGATAGCAATTCGTGATGCGGAAGCTGAGAATACGATGTCTAACAATGCGCACGAGAACGCCTGTGATATAGAAAGATGTAGACTGAGCTTTGTTAGCTGACGTGTGTCGTCATTTCCGCCTAGTCTGGATAGTGTGCGCAGAGTGCGTCTTCCTGTTAGCAGACGGAAGAACAAAAGAAAAACTGGTCAAAAGAACGCATGTATCTATTGGAGAGGCTCGATTCATGTACTCAGAACATGTGAGGGAAATGTTGAGCACTGTCGCTATGACGAACGAGAAGATATTTGCTGGTGCTGACTGCGCAATCCTCATGTCTAGCCCCTTTGCTGTTAGCAGCCCTGCATTGATAGCGCCCGCCCGACGTGAGTACTTGTAGATCTATGGTGCTCATTACGAGTGGAAGACGTCGTCGTGCTCGCAGCTAAGGAACTAGGCTGCCGGTGACTTCACCGCAACCAAACTACTACCTCAACACAGTACGTTTGGAAGGACAGGGAGAAGGTTCAGACTCTGGCTCAGGCTCAGAGTCTGAGATGAGTGCCGGCCCAAATACAGTAAGTAGTGGTGGTAGTAGCCACTGGAGAATTACAAGCATCATCAGGTAACAGGACGCCACAAGCGAGACATAATGCCATGTACATGGAAGGAGCGACTCAGCGGTCCGGCTGTACCTGCAGGAAAAGCGGGTGACGGGAAGGGCTTATGGGCACCAGATGCCAAGTATGCACTAGCTGATGTCATACCCGTTCTTCCTGTCGAGATGACGCAAGACTCCGAGAGATCTGCAAGATCAGCGGCACGACGGGGTCTGGGTTCTGGGATCGGTGCGGGACAAGCATGGGAATCGTGTGCACATGTTGGTCTATTCCTACACTAAAAAAACCTTGACTTCTTCAACTCCTGCTGCAATTGGTAAAGTAGATGTAAATGGCGGAAACATCCTTGAGATGGAAAAGCGCTGAAAATACAGTTTCGGCCCACTACGCCTGTGCGCCGATTGTAGCATATTGCACAACAGGAAAGCAGATATCTCCCAGGCGTTGAACTTGGAAAACTATACAAATTCATAGTATCGCGAACGATGTTTTCTTCTCCGCAGACGCCCACGATATAGGAAAACATGCTATATCCAGAACGCCAAACTAGAAAATCGCCTATCCACCTGTTTCCTGAACAGCCGTGATATCGTATGGGATACTCGGAAGACAATGTATCCTGCTTTCGCGATTGAACTCAAAGACGCTGCTAAGGAAATGTAAATAATGCTGAGCTCAACCACGAGCACGTCCGCTACGTCGCACTGGAAGGGCGCCATTCGTAGTGGGACTCGATTCTACTGCTGCGGTACCGTTCGCCTTCGCCTTCGCCGCCTTGGCTTTTGTTGCACTCTTTGTAGACTTGGGCGGCGTGGCCTCCTCAACAGGCTCGGCAGCTTTGCGCTTTTGAACGACAGGGGACGACTTGACCCCATTGCTCTTAGTGACAGCCTTGTTGCGCGTACTTCTCTTCGTAGTAGGCTCAGGTGCGGGTTCCGGATCAGAGGACTGCCCCAGATCCGACAGCTCCGACGCATCACCGGCAGCTTCTACCTCATTTTCGGCCGCCTCGGTATCTCGCATGTCCACGTCGTCTTCGGGAGCCGGTGAAGACTTTTCTTCTGCTCCTTCGCTTTTCGAAGCATCCGCTTCTTCTTCTTCACCTTCTTCAGCTCTAACGCCAACATCTTCCTCATCACTCGATACCTCGACATAGCTCTTGTGCACAGTGCTTCGGCGATCACTCTTTCTGCGTGGTCCGCTAGACGGGGCAACTGCACCCTCAACGTCGCTCGCATCTTCGTCTTCGCCAGCTCTTCTCTTCTTCTTGGGCGTCTTAGTCGTGCGCTCTGCCCTGGACTTCTTTTCCTTGATTGGCCTGTCGCCTTTCGTCTTCTTCCGCGGCTTATCGACACTGTCCGAGGCTTTTCGCTTCTTGTTCCGAATAGCTTTTCGGACGAGTGGGTCCAACTCTTCAACTAAATCCTCCCCAATCCATATCTTCTTTGCAATCTCTTGTGCACGGTCGTGACTTTCAAGAGGTCGGAAGATGCCAGATGGCAACTTCATTTTCCCAGGCCACGATTGCATCGTCCAATTGTTTTGCTCTTCCCACGAGCGAATGAGAGCTTGTGCAAGATCGGACAAGATGTATAGATTTTCGTCGGCCTGTCTCGATGGCGCAATGTTATCAGCAACGCCTTTGACACGCTGAGCCACATGGAATATGAGTGATAGGTTCTCCTCGGTCGCCACGCATTTCAAGTAGTACAGAATGTACTCTGACATGAGCTTCAGCGTATCGTCGTCCCTGTCAAAATCGGGATGATGAGCCAGTAAACTAAGCAGGCGCGCAAAGACGGTCTCAAGTACAGTCTCCTTTCGTGCAGCGAAAGCAGCACGGCGTGCGCGTATCCACGTCATTGTGCTATTCTTGATATTCTTCTCCGGTTCATGCGCAAGGAAGAAGAGAATGGTGTAAAACCGAGGAGGTAGCCGACCTTGACCGAGATACTTCATTAGCTTGTCGGCGAAGCCTTTGCGTACCTGTGGGCATGGGTCATGTGTGACAAGGGCTAATTGGATGAAGTCTGCGGGTGTCAGGAAAGGATCGAGGCGTTTGTAGCACGACAGCTTGAGCAAGGAGTTGGCTGCAAGAAGTCGTTGGCGAGACTTGTGTGCAGCTGGAGGGCTGTCGTCTGTGGATCCCTCGCCATCGTTCTTCACGTAGCGGTTCAGTAATTTATACGTGTTCCCTGCGGCATCGCTGAAGGCAGCATCAGACGGCAATGAGCGCAGTCTGTTGACAAGTATCTTGATCGCCCAAGATCGGCCTTGGATGTCATCGTCAGGTATTTCCATCCACTCAGCGTCAGCGTCAGGCATTGCCGCATGCGGCTTCTGGAGAACTTCCTGAATCGCAATTTCAATTATGGCGTCCATTTCATCCTCGCAATCAGACTGGGCTAACAAAACTAGCTGACTGAGGGCGGCCAGCTTGGTGAGCCAGTGTGCACCATTATATTGGAAGCCTTTGATACTCTTGCTAAGAATTTCTCTTGCGTGCATCTCCTTCTTATCATCGCTGTTCATGATGATGGTGATGGCATGCTTCGCGGCCTGTGGAGGAGCGCCATAGAAGGCAAAATTCAAGAAACTCTGCACCAACTTGCGGCTGTCTTTGCCGTTCATTGGGATGTCAGTTGGAAACTTCTTTGCGAACGCAGCACAGGCTTTGAGATCATCCACAGCTCCGGGAGGGTTAGGCTTTGTGGCTGTGGGCGCTTCACTCTCGAGCGTTTTACAGAGATCCTTTACGTGTGTAGAGAAGACCTGGGGATGCTTTGTCGATATCTCTTTTAACAGCTCATGAGCGGTAGCACCGAGACCCTTGTCGTCGGTACGGGTGTACTCGATAACAGCTGGAACATGACTCTTGTTGTAGCAGAGAAGGCTGACGCGATACAAGAGTGGGGTCAGTGTGTCAAGTAGAGAAGAACCCGGTCCATCCTCGATCCTCTTACGTAGCTCCTTGATTGATCTGAAGACACGACGATAGTCGCTAGATGGATCCATGGCAAATCGTATCAGAGTGTATGCTCGGCGATCGTGAGCTTTGGCAAACTTCCACAAATCGTCTCGTACCCTAGTCGAATCGGGAAGCGTCTTCGCGTAATAGGTGATGAGACCTTCTAGTTTCGCCTTGACGTCTTTGTCGCCCTTGTCCGTGACGCCGCCGTTATACTCTTCACAAAGTTTGAGGAAGTGTTCCATGTACTTGGCGCCGGGACCCTGATTGCCTTGCTTAGCAAAGAAAACCTTCTTGGCCTTCTCCTCCAACCCGTTGACTAGTACAAGTTGCCTCTCAGTTCGAATCTTATCCAAGTCTGCTTCTGTGTAGCCGGGCTCAGTGTTGGACTGGCTGTCCTTTACAACCTGCGAGTTCCCAGCCGGGGTTGCTTTTGCCTTCATAGGTGGATACGCAAGCGGAAGCAAGGAATCGTACAGTGCTAAATCAACCTGAAGGTTAATTTCGAGGTCGTTGACGTAACAAGCTTCCAGTATCCGGGAGGGAATGGGTCCAAGTAGTGACTTGATGCTGTCGTCACCCTCTGCAATGGCACCCGCAGCCACACCCCAAATTTTGCCAAGAAGTCTCATCGACTCGGAGTGAATGACATTTTTCTTGTCCTTGACACGATCGGCAAGGTTGGAAAGAATGGAGCCGGGTTCTGCCATACTGCCGTTGCTACCGAGCTTGCGGACAATGTCGTTGAATTCGAAGTGTGCGACGGCCTTGACAGCCGCTAGGCGTACCTTTTCGTCGCTGTCGATCAGACACTCGGCAAAGTATTTGAGCAGCTTCTGTTCCTCTTCAAGATCAAGACCGATGCCGCCGGCTGATGTCATCAGTATGCGGCCGATGCCGGTAGTCCACGATGCACGTATGACGGCGGACTTGTCGTTCTTGCGCTGGAGGAAGGAATGGTATGCAACAGGGTATTGGGTGGGAAAGGAGTTGATAGAAACAGGGGTGGTGAGGTAGTCAAAGGGTCGTGCTGGCTCGGAGCGGGACAAACTCTGGGATGGATATGCGACTGGGTCCAGCTCGGGCAGGGGCGGAGGGCCAGCCGCACCAATACCTGATATCATGTCCCCAAACGTCTCCGTCGCAAGCTGTCGAAGCTGCACGTTCTCCGTCGCAAGCTCATCCTGTAGATGCGGGATGATCTCCTGTAGGACACCGGGACAGCATTTCCAAAGCTCTCGCAGCAACCTATGCGCTTTGTGTGCCTCATTGAGATCATCCTCGGATGGGCCTTGGGGGAGATCATCATCAATATCATCCTTTGAGCGGCCTTTGTAGGTAGTCCCTGAGCTGGTGAAGTCTACGATGACGGAGCTAAAGTAATTGCCGATGAGGCGAGCCATCTTCTCCGGAAACGCGTTGCAGACATTCTTGGCCATGTTGTAGGCGGGTGGAGCCTCTTTGCGACGTAGTGTGGATTGTTTGGCGTCTATGGGGGCAGTCTTCTTGCCCTTTGCATTCGTTCCTAATGTGATGGGGTCAGCCCAGAGAAACTGGGCTACAATCACGTCGACTACATCATGTGTGACTCCAGGCGCTTCGTCTATTATAGTGGAGAGCACTTCGGTCATGTTGTACTCTATGTTCTTGCTCAGCTCCTCGCCCTTGGACGAGCCCGACAAGACATCGAAGCAAGTGGTGAAGAGGGCCGAGGTGAGCTGATCGGCGCCGGGGATCTCGTTGATGAGCAGGATACTCTTCCATTCGGCCAGGGAGCGCAGGATGTACATGTGCTGGCTGTTGTATGGGTGAGAGGGGTCTGCGAGGAGGGGCAGCAGCTTGTGGATGATGACTGAGAAGATTTCCTGGGGTAATTGTTAGCGATGCCGTGGTTCGCAGTACCATAGGGGGTCATATTCTACCCTAAGCTTGGATGCAGGATACGGCGCATCTGGCGCAAACAGCTTCAGCATGTCGACTATGCAGCAGACGGTCCACGCGCGCACGCCATTGTCCTTGTGCTGTAGGAGACTCTGATGGGCCAGCGACTCTGCGACGGGCATGAGCGACTCCCTGTGCGCCTCCTCTTGATCTATCGTCCGAAGCTCGTCAAGCAGCGTCTTGAGTCGCGTCAGCAAATCGCTCACGCTCACTTGCTTGCCCGGCCGGCCAACAAGCTGCTGGTTGAACTTGAGCTTCTTAAGCCCATCCTGAACCTCGTCTTCTTCCTGCGCAAGCTCTTGCTCCTGCTCCTCCTCTTGAGCCACCTCAGCGGCTGCGGCTGCGGCTGCGCTGCGCCGACTGCGAGGCGCCATGTCGCGTGGCTGCTGCGCGTGCGAATTGACGTCGTCAAGTCGTGTTTGCACCTTCTTTGTCGTCGAAGCAATTGTGCGCGTCCAAAGGCGATCGCGAACGCACGCGGCTAGTTGAGTCTATCAGCGACGTGGTGATGGGCGTTTGTAACGTGACGATGTTGAGGGGGAGTTTGGCTTCGACTTTCTGAGCAGTGACGCGCTAGCTAGGTAGTTAGTTAGTTACCTTTCCGACGCGACTTCAGCTTTGACTTCGGCCTACATCACTCCACCAACCACTTTTCCGTGTGTGCATGTAATCCGCCACAACACGTTGCTGTAAACTAGCGTAGCTTATTGCCCGCTTCTTGCACCAATTCGGGAATGTTGGCCTCTGTTGTTTCACGTAATCACTTCGCAATCCCACTTCCCTCCAATTCATCTGCATGACGTACGACACAAGTCTGCTGTAGAGTAGAACAAGTAAAAATGGATAGACAGCAAATCTTTCAGCTGGTATGAAGCTCTGATGCTTATCCCTATGAAGCTAACCCTTTTCCTAGCTAAAGCAGCCTTGCATCCGCCTTCTCCAAGTCACTGCGAATCTATCGCAAAAGCCTGGTGCTCGCAATGAGCTGACTCAGGCCCTGTTTGATTTGCTGACAACGCTTCGGTCGGTAACTAGCAGGCCAGGTGCTCTGGACGCAAGACTAGCTGAATATGCTTTCGTTCCAATCTCGCAGGTACTCAGAATTTCACGACAAGTCCCTGTTCGCGCACTGGAGCTCTGTCTCGAGTGCATCTCGACATTGCTAAGCGCTGGCTGGGGAGGCGGTCTTGAGCCTGCTTTATCTGGTCAACTCCTCATTCTCTTCACTTTCCTGGCAAAACCTTCGTCTGCGGAGAATGGCATAACTGCCACGTCAGAGGAGCTTCAATCACTGGCGCTCAAATGCATGTCCGAGTTGATGACCCAAGTATCTTGTACGAAGCAGGGTCAGCAGGCTATAACTGCAACAGCCAACATACCCGCTCTGGGTGAGGCTGTTCTTGTCATGCTTGAAAGTCTTACAGACAGCAATTCAAACAATGTCAAGCTTCAGGCCGTCCATGCAGTCAAGGCAATGATTGACGCCATGGCCGACGATGATGCTCTAGCAAGCTTTCTCCCCAGAATCGTTTCATCTATAACCAAAGTCTTGACTCCCAGTAGCAGCAACCGGCCAGGGTTTCGAGTTGTCGAGCAAGGCTTACATGTACTTGCATCTCTCCTGATCCGCCTCCTCAGCGACATCAAGACCAAAGACTTGCCCGAAAACGCACCTAATAAAGGATCGCAAGATGACACAAAGGTCTTGCGGTCCACTGCATGGCTACACGCGACAACATCACAAATCAAAATCGCACTTGCGAGCGTGTTCAAGCTTCGCGATCACGACAAACCAGAAGTTCGACAAGCTCTGCTAAGTCTGTGTCTCTGCATCATACAGGATTGTCGTACATCGCTTTCCCTTTGCGTCAGCATGGCTACTGAAACCATCATCAATCTTGCCGGTCACGAAGGCTCTGGCGACTCGATCGAAGGTCAGCTCAAGAGGCTACTGTCAGTAGACCAGAAGCTCTCGGATCTGTTGCGAGAAATTCTGCATGGGTGGATTGTTGCGCTGCCCCGGCTGATGCAATCCAAGGATGACCACAGTCGCCGGCGAATCATACAGCAGATATCAATCTCACTTCGACTTTTCGAGGAAGACCCTACAGTACTGGATGAGCGGCTGGCCGATGGCCTTAGAGAGGGTGTATCTGCAGTGTTCGCCGATGCAAAAGGCTTAGGAGAAATGAAGGAGAACACATCGATTGCTATCACTGATCGGACTCTGACACTGAGCTCCACCAAGTCTTCATCATTCTCGCCCCTCAGTCTACAATTTAAAGGTCAAGATGATATGATGGCTGAGTTTAGGATCCTGATTCAGGAACTTGCAAGATCGAGTTCAGCATTGAGTGTGGCTCAGAGACTCACACAATCAGTTGGTCTAGGCACAGTCGAGACACGCTTGGCAAGCTTGTGGTTGTCAATCAACTTAATCAAAGACACAGCAACGTCCAATCCGTCTATCGACGACTTCTTGGACTTCGGCACCCCAAATCCAAGGGAGGAACTGCTGGACGACCTGTATTCACATTCTTTGACATTGCTCAACCAACGGAATATGGGTACCGAGACCTCATGGCATTTTTCTGCATTAGCACTCGAGACGGTGGCTTTGCAAGCGAAACGACATAGAGTCGATTTCCGTCCCGAGTTGAGTGAAGTCCTCTATCCAGTCCTACACCATCTTGGCAGTTCGAATACTGCCTTGAGGGAACACGCACTAACCTGCCTCAATATTGTCGGTGAAGCAACGGGATACTCCAACGCAGGAGAACTTGTGGTCGAAAACGTGGATTACGTCATCAACGCAGTCGGCCT